CCCCTCTTCTATTTGCAATACACAATGTGCATGCTCTCTCTCTCTCTCTCTCTCTCTCTCTCTCTCTCGTATTCACAGGGAAGACCAGAATTTTCTGAAGTAGTCACAAAATTAGAAGAATGCCTATGCAATATTGAGGTAAAGATATAAGCTCCTGCAGTGAAGTAATATGAATGCACCAAATGAGCAAATGTGAATGCAAGTTGGGGAGCAAGACAAGTGTGAAAGAGACCATAGAATTTGTTGACCCGATTCACCCAGTTGTAACCTCCCTCATTAAATTTTAAGGTGATACAGTAAACAATAGCCCCATGAGTGCCCTGAGAAGAAGAAGGCCAAAGGCCAGCCTGACAGAACACACTGCCGTGAGCATGATATGAGATCAGGTCTCTCACTTGCTCTTGGCTGCCTGCATTTCCAGAGATGGTAATGCTGCAGAGAGAGACTGTTCAGCATTGCAGGGATGTACTTTGCAGTAGTCTTAGGCAGATCCACTTCTCCCCACCTAGCAATCCCAGGTCTGCTTGGCTAGAAAGAAGAGTCTGACATGGATTTTAGGGAGGGGGATTAAAAGAGCAAACATAAAAAGAGAAATACAAAGCTACATTTCTGCTTCTCTTTATGGCTAATAAACAATTGAAGATAACTGATCAAACAGGAAGTGAGCTTGATTAGGGACTCCAGTCCTGAATTTACATTTGCTCTGCGTGTCTGTGTGTGTCTGTGGGTGGGTGGGTGCGCGCACACACAAGAATTATAAAAATTCCCCCTTTTCTTTCAAATGTATCACTGCTCTTGAGCTAAAGGGTCAGAGCAGACTCCCGTAATCTATTACATTTCTTCATGCTCTGACTGCAGCAGGTTGCTTTATGTGTAGGTGGAAGCTTTTAAGTTTTTAAAACAAGTGAAGTACTATATCGCAAGTAACCGTGCTGTCTCACGGGAGAACTGGCTTCTGGGATACATAGGCAGCAGTGCATGTAGGATGAAATCTGGGCTATGAACCAAAAAAAGAAGCTTTATTTATCTAAGGAGTTAGTCTTAAGCTCCATTGTCTCCATGGCAAAACCCTGTTTAGGAGAGTTTTAAGGAACAAAATCTGTGGAGAGTTGTTAAGTGCTACAGGCAACAAAGGATGAAATTGGGGTGATAAGATTTTTTGTCCCTTTTGTTTCCTCGCCCCTCACTCAGAAAATTAATTTTGTTCCTTTTTAAACTTTTAAATGCCTCCTAACACTACACGCTTGCCCTGCCATTCTGGGTTTCTACTTAGAGATTCGTGAATTATAAGGCCAGAAGAGACTGCTATGCTCATCTGGCATAACTTCCTATAGAACACAGGCCATAGAATTTCACCCAGTAATTCCTGAAGTGGAAGGAATTGCTCTTCCCTGCTCTGTAAGTGAACACTATCAAGCCCAGTAACTAACGGCTGAACTGGAGCATATCTTTTAGAAACACATCCAATCTCGATTTAAACACTCCAAGAGATGATGAATTTACCACTTCCCTTGGTAAGCTGCATGCAGCTCTCATCTGCTGCTGATCAAAGTCAGGAGGCACTGCTTTTTTTCAGCCAATGCAGCAGAAGAAAGAAGGGACACAAATATGAATGAGAAAGAGGAGAATAAAAATAATCCAGGACTGCAGCAAAATTCTTGTGTTCTGTTGCACATGCTCAGTGCGTTGAAGCCTCTTTAACACTGTTAAGGCTCAGGAGCAAATGTTGACAATGCTCTTTTTTAATCCAGTTGATGTCTCCAGCCTCCAGCAACAGCAGTGGCTCTTTGTCTCCTTCCTCTTCTTCTGACTGTCTCATTGCACGAGGAGGTCCTGGCCGTAGCCATGTTGCAGCTTTACGTAGCCGGTTTGAGTTGGAATACGCCTTGAATGCAAGAGCTTATGCTGTTTGGTCACAAAGGTAAGTGGCAACCCCTTGAGGCTGGCCTAGCTCTTACTATGGGACAGCGTGGTGAGCAGCATCAAGAAAAGGCATCCAAGGAGACATCCGTCATCTTCCATAGACTGT